AAAATATAAGGAAATATATTTTCTTTGCATAGGGGTATGCTGCAAATATTGTTGAACCTTATGATAAATTGCAATGTTCCTCATTTATAAGCTGCTTTGGATAAAAGCTTCTTCTAAATGAAGTACGGCTGATGATGTGGGTCTTTGTCTCAGGTCGGGATTTTGGTGAGCTGTGAAGATCTCTTCAGTGACAGACAGTGGAAGGTCTGTCACGCTTTCGCCACCTTTGTGGCCCGACGTACCGAAGCAGGAAAGGTAAGAAACATCACGTCGAACTAAATCAGAACAATTTTAGCCACAAGTTTGCACACCCTTGAATCAGATCTGTGAAAAAGAGCTTGGATTTGGTCCAGGTCTTGTTAGAGTTGGGATTCATCAGCGCAGTGTTTGGGTTTGCACAGGTTCAGCTGAAGCAGGTGATTCCACGCACGCAGGCAGAGCAGATGGAGTACAGCCTCGCAGCCGAGCGCAGGAGGATGAGACTGATCCATGCAGAGATAATTAACGATCTTCTCAGCAGCTGCTCCTCTCAGACAGGTGAGCGGAGACACTGCTCACTCACTTTCTCCAGGTGTGTTTGTTTACTTGCAAGACTTTGAAGAGAGGTCTCAGGAACACTTGCCACAGGAAATTAGTCATGAATCAGAAGTTGAGTTCTGATTGAAGGTGTCATTCGGTTTGTTTGGTGTCTCTTCATAAACACGCCGCCAACACTCATTTAAGCGTATATATATGTGCAGTAAACCTTCACCGTTCACTTACAAAGGGTCACGTGGTTTGAAGTGTGTAGAATAAATAGACTGGAAGATGCAGTCGCTCTGATAAGTGGTGCTCTATCTGTTTGTCAGTGAGTGAGTGTCTAGATTACCAGGAAGCGGTGCCTGCGGAGCGGACCCGGGTAGAAAGCGTCGAGCTGGTGCTCCCGCCCCATGCCAATCACCAGGTCAGCACGTTTGGTGGACAAATCATGGCCTGGATGGAGAATGTAGCCACCATCTCTGCCAGGTGTACAGTCCCTATTTTACTACAGTCAAATCTGATGATAAAAAAAAAGATATTTAAATGCATATGCAAGGAAACCATTGGTGTGTCATACTCTATATGCGTTTTCTTCTAGTCGTTTGTGTAATGCTCACCCAACTCTGCGGAGCATAGACATGTTCCACTTTCGTGGGCCGTCCCACATTGGAGACAGACTGGTGTTGAAGGCCATTGTAAACAATGCTTTCAAGAAAAGGTACGTCTATATCAAGAAAAAATTGTGGACCACTGGGATGCCTGGGGCTGTATATATTTATCATTCAAAAGTTTGTTTTTTAAAGAAAATATTAAAAAAGTTACTTCTATTCAGTAAGGACACATTACATTGATCAATGACAGTAAAGCCTTTTACGTTGTAAGAAAATAAAATCTTTCAAAAAATGCTGTTCTTTTGAACTTTCTATTCATTACAGAATCATAAAAAAAAAAGACTGGAGTAATGATGCTGAAAATTCAGCTTTGCATCACAGGAATAAATTACATTTTAAAAATATATTCAAATAGAAAACAGCCTGAGTGAGCATAAGAGACCGAACCCAATCTTTTAACGGTTATATTTAAATATATAAAGTATAAAAAATATAATATTTATAAAATGTATATATTTTTAATATTAGATTTGTTTATCATATTTGTTTAACTGGATTATAAAAGCTATGGATCAGTACCACTATGTAGACTAAGGACTTAAAAGCAGTAATATAGTATATACCTATATTATAAACAGTAAAAGCTATGGTTCTGTATCACTTACATCCATGAATCATGGAAGCCTGATTTATCTTTGAGCAACCTGAACAACTGGTATTTCATGTGTGCTATTCCAGTATGGAGGTGGGAGTGTGTGCGGAGGCCTATCAGGGTGGAGAGCCCCTGCGACACATCAACACCGCCTTCATGACCTTTGAGGTCTTGGACAATGACAGGAAGCCATGCACGTTGCCAAGGATACGGCCTGAGCCTGTGGTGAGCGCTGTAACATTCCTGGAATCCCTCACATGGTGGAAGAGTTTAACTGGTTGATGGAGTTCAAGAGGGTGAAACAAAATGAATGGAATATGCAGTGCTTGCTTTACACTGAGTTTTTAAAACTGAATCTTATTATTTCAATTACAAATCATTATCTTTTTATCCTGTCTTTTTAGGATGGTAAAAGACGCTTTCAGGAAGCCATAGCCAGAAAGAAAATCCGCCTTGACAGGTAGGATTCTTAAGATTTTGTCTATTATAACAGGTTATGCCATATTCTTATGATATCATACGCCTATTTATAAGCTCTGGCTGCATGTCATATTCAAAGTTAACTTTACAGCTATAAAAATTCCTGCATAGCAGACCAGCATGGGACACTAGATCACATGAGTATGCTCTCCTCTTACAGGAAGTACATAATATCCTGCAAACAAAGCGAGGTTCCTCTCTCGGTTCCCTGGGACCCAAGTAACCAGGTATATTAACCTGTTCTAGTAGCTATAAATCTCATGGATTTGCTCAACCTGCTTTGTTGGACCATGTGACTAATCCATGTCTTGGCAGATGTACCTCAGTTACAATAATGTTTCGGCACTGAAGATGTTGGCTGCCCGGACTAACTGGGTCTTAACCTCAGAGAAGAACAAGGTGGATAAGTTTTGTACACTTAAATTTTCCATTTTGTCTTTTTGAGATTACATGGGTGACTTGAGCAGTCAAAAATGTTGTAGATGCTTGAGGGAAATTAATGAGCTGAAACATTGTGCCCAGGTGAGTTTATACACACTGGAGGAGAACCAGATGTTGTGCTTTAAGGTGGAGACTCATGTGGCTGTGGCGGCCGAGCAGGTGTTTCTGTTACTGTCTGATCTAAGGCGAAGGAAGGCATGGGACCACCACTACCAGTATGTCAAATGCATTTTATATAACAAAAAAAGAAAATATTGAATTTTATAAGCGACAGACATTTAACAGCCATTTTTTAAAATGAAAATATAAAGTTTGGAGTTTATAGTATTTTTTTTTATTATTATTTCTATTTCAAATAAATGCTGTTCTTTTGGGATTTCTATTAATCCTAAAAATGTATCACAATGTCCACAAAAATATGAAAAAGTATATAAAAAGTAGTACACCTGTTTTCAACATTGATAATAATTAGAAACATTGTATGTTTCTTTAGCACCTAATAAGCATATTATAATGTTTTTTGTTTGTTTGTTTTTTGTTAAGATCATGTGACACTGAAGACTGGAGTAAATTCAGCTTTGCCATCACAAGAATTTATTACATTTAAAAAATAGTTGTAATATTTAAAAATATTGCTGTTGTACTGTATTTTTTATCAAATAAATGCAACCTTGGTGAACATGAGACTCAAAAACATTAAATCCTATTACTTTTAACAGAGTTTTTTAATTAATAAAAAAAACATTAAAATCTATAAATGAACACTTTTTGCTGCAATGTAAATTTAAATGAAATGTTATTTTTACAAGTGTCTTTGCTGTTTGTTACAATGGCTGGCAGATAAAATGATCAGCCACAGTTTCAAATTACTTGATTTAACGTAGAACGCATTATGATATTATAATTAACCATAATAAATATGCCTTAATACAGAGAGTGTGAAGTGATAACTGACTCACATGAAGACGACACCATCTACCGAGTTGTCACCCCCTCTGTGACTAAAGGAGGCAAAGTCCAGGACTTCATCCTCCTGGCCTCCAGGAGGCGCCCTTGTGATTCTGGGTAAACCTTAAACTCCTACAAAATCTCTATATTGTGTCTTGTGTATTTCCAAAGAACAAAATAAGTTATTACATCTTTGTCACTTTTAGAGACCCTTATATGATTGCCTTGCGTTCTGTGACCCTGCCTGCGTACCCTCCCACTGAAGACTACAACAGAGGAGAGGTGCTGTGTGCTGGGTTCAGTATCTGGGAGGAGGAAAACTCTTTCACTAAGGTAATAAATACACAGAAAGTCTAATGGACACTTATACTGAATGAGTGAATGAGTCAAAGTTCAAGAATGAACACGGCTTTAAACGTAGCAATCTCTTTAACTGAAATAATGTGCATGTACATTAGCCAATAACACTGTTTATAACTCATGTTTAGAAACTGCTTAGAGTGGTCCCTTGTGCTGCCACGTAGGTGTTAAAGTACTGAAGGTTAAGTGCGTTCGGTTTACATGCTTATGTATGCATTTCTCTCAGATTTCTTACTACAACCAGGCCACTCCTGGCGTGCTGCCCTATATCTCCACTGACATCGCTGGGCTTTCCTCCAGTTTCTACTGCACCTTTGCCTCATGTAGCGCTTTTCTGGAGGAGAATAAAGACAGCCTGGCTTCCCTGCCCACCTCCACCCTGTGAAAAAGCTGAATTCGACAATCTATGCTCTACAGAAATGGATTTTGCTTCTAAAAAAAAATGGTTATGGTCCAGATATAAGGTTGACACAGACATTCACATTTGAGTTTAGTATAAAAAGATCATGAGCTTTAGGTACGTAAAACTCTTATTTTCCATACACTCTCAGAAAATAAAGGCACAGAACTGTCACTGGAATGGGACCCTATGATACAAAAGCTAAAAGGTACATCTCTGTACCATATTTACCTTTAAATGGTACATATTAGTACCTTAGGGTACAGCCCCTGTGGCAATTTTGTACCTTTTTGAATTTAGAAAAAGGCATTAGCATTGTTATCAGCGGAGTCTTTTTTGTTGTTGTTGAAACTCCATATATATATATAATATATAAATATATACAGAATAATTTTGTAATGTAACCTTGATGAATATTAATATTATTAAAAAATAATAATAATTCTTTTTTTTTTTTTTTTAGATATTCAGCGGAGTCTTTTTTGTTGTTGTTGAAACTCCATATATATATATAATATATAAATATATACAGAATAATTTTTGAATGTAACCTTTATGAATATTAATATTATTAAAAAATAATAATAATTCTTTTTTTTTTTTTTAGATATTTCACCTTTTAAGCTAGAATTTAGGGTCATGTGCAATAATGTAAAACTCTCTACAGATGCCACTTCCAGAAGACTAAGCTAGTATACTGCACTGTTGTCATTCTCAATGACTCAAAGTACTCAAAATAAAACTAATAAACTTCAAATGGGTGGCAAGGTCGATATGTGGTACTTCCTGGGACATGCACAATCACGTTTGCATAGATTTTCAGTCTAGTTAGTGACGGATGTTAGACTCTACCTTTTTATGTCAGGCCAGAACAATGCCTTGATTTTCACACTGCTGATTCATTGGACAGGACCTTTTTAAATAAATACTGTTACATGTAGCAATTTAGTGTAGCTCATCTTTATTCAATGTCAAGCTAAGCTTGCCTTGGCATTTACAGATCATTTAAAGATCCTCCTGTTATACTACAACTGTTGAGAAATATAGCAAAAAATATTGTTATTTGAATCCTGCTAAAACATGCCATTCAGTTAATCTTTCTTAAGTGCTTATGTAAAGAGTTTAATAATGACCCAGATAATGTGGACTTATTTGTTATGTAAAGTTGGTGGCTACTAGTTTCTTAATACTTGTGCCTGACGGATGGGGGTGGTTGTGTATTAGGGGAGTATTTTTGGATTCCTGTTATGTAATATTTTGGATTTTGAAAAGAGGAGCAGATCTCAGTGTCTATAATATGATCTTTGCAGACATCTTCTGGTAAGTACTGTAATATATTATACTATTCTATACTATAGTGCAGTATATTCTGCTTTTGAAGCTACTGTACACAAAGGCTTCTAACTAACCAATATGTAAATGTCATGTTAAACCGAGAGTTTGATTAAAAACATTCATGCATTTATTGCTGGTTACCACGTTTCCATGCGTGGTATCTAAGCACGGCCCTCGCTAGAGAGTTGTGCTGTTGGCTGAAATTGCAAACCATCTCTTGCTCCTGGATCCTCATCCTCTTCTCTTCCAAAAACTGGGCATGTTTCTGACGTGCATGATGGATGTCCTGCTCCAGCTTGGCTCTCTGTAGAGTAAGAGTTTTCTCCATATCCACCCTTTCCCGCTCCTGCCGCAGATGTACTTCTGTCCTGCGAGCTTCTCTAAAGATGTCTCGACGACCCTTGGCTACTTCACGGTCAATCTGGCGCTCAGTTACCTTCTCTACAAGGTGTCTCTGCATTCTGGCTTTATCAAATGCTTGATGGACTCTTTCAATTACTTTGAAGGGGGTGAGGCTGATTTTGTCATGGCAACAACCAATCAGACGCTTCTCTGAAGTAATGGCAGAAGAATGCGGCTGTAGACCTGGTCTCTGAGTGTGAAAATGGCTGATGGCCTCACGTACGTCCTGTCCTGCAGCTTTACGGGACCACAACATGTCACTCAGTGGCTCACTCTGGTGGACCAAAGCTTTCAGTCCCAAAACACGAAAGGTTCCTTCTTCAATTTCTTCATTACAGATATCAACAGTCACACTGATATCTAGACAAGCAGAACAGAAGCATTCAGTGAATCAAACCGGTCTCTTAAGAGAGCTAACTAAAGTCAAAACTTCTGTTGTACCTTGGTCAAGCGTGTTTAGATGGGCCTCAGATTTCAGACTTAGACTGCACTGAGGGGTGTTGCATGGTGCTTTTATGTCTTGCTGACTGTCATTTGATTGAACACTTGCAGCATCCTGTATAACCTGTATAAAAGTGACAAATGCATGTCAAATGAAGAGTCTACATTTAGATGCACCCTAAAAAATTAAATGCAAAAATTTAAATGCACCTGTTACCACAATTAATAAATGCATGGTTGCAAGTAAAAAAAAAAAAACTAGTTTATTTCATTAAACCTTCAAAGTTACCAACATTATTTTAATGAGTTTTGTTGACATAATAATGTTGTTAATATGAACTTAATATTGTATGTAAACTCAAATTTCTGTGTTGACTGATTGTCTTAAAAAATGTAGTTGTAGTAAATTAATAAAATTGTCTTGTTAATTTTTGGGCAGTAGAGTTCTAGTTCCCAGCATGATTTGCATTGGCCTAGATAAGGAGAATGACTGTTAAAATTAAGCAGAATTGTATTTGTTGTTTTTTTTATTTAAGGGAGAGACCTGTTAGTGGTTAATGCTATTATATTTGACATTTAAAAGAGCTTTTGTTATGTTTTGTCGGTTTTTGTCATTACAATTTGTGCTGAAGAGTAGACTACATGAATGTAAGCAGCAATGACTGTTCCTCTCGATGTACTTTTTGGTTGAACATAATTTCATTACAAGTTGTCATGACGTAAAAAGATTAATCCAAACAGTTGCATAATTTTGTTTTGTTTTGTTGAGCCAACACATTATTTTTTAGAGTGTACAGTGTCTATATTTTATACTGTCACGTTACCTCTGGGTAGCCAGTTTGCATCAGCTTATCAAGGTTCACATGAAGTCTTTGGATCTCTGTATCTATCTCTTCATTTTCCTTTGGCTGAGAAACATATAACTACATTTTAGAATACTGCACATGAGCATTTCAAATAACCTAAATGCTATTTTTTTTTTATATTTTAGAATTTTATATATATATATATATATATATATATACACACATA